ATAAACTGGGGATGGATATCAACACCCAGAAACAGTTCACCTTTCTTTTTCTTATGCAAAGGTAACTTGCTGTGCATTACTTTGGGTGTAGGTTTCATGTTGATCAAACTGCAGGTAGAACAACGAAGCAAAAAAAATGAAAACACATGAATATACAGAAGGCCTTTTCTCTATATTGTTTCTAGACCAAACTTTCTCTCTCCATGACCTTCAAGAAGCTCGTGAACTTCAGAAATGAAAAAAAAAAAACAAAAACAAATAGGTGCATTGAACAATAAGTACAGAGATAGTTACACAACTCCAAAGCACCAGTAGATCATAAATATTTACAAATCAATTAGCAACAGTCAGAGGTTGTTTCATCATAAGATCTAAAATTTATAATTAAAATGAAAATGCTGCATCATGTCTGTATACACACTCATCACAATTTTCTTCCACAGGAAAGAAGAGAGACAGTCTGAAACCAAGTATCCAGAATGTCTTCATGCACGCCAATCATCAAATGGAGTACAGCCAGGGGAGAGTTCTACTGGTGTTCTACATGTGACACGGCATACAGGGATAGGGAGGGCGTTGTAGAACACACCATGACCCACACTAAAGGGGCAGAGTCCCACACATGCTTTGAGTGTCTCAAGAATTTCTCTGATAGAAAGGACTTTCAGGCACACATGCCTAGGTGTAGTATTACAGTCCCTTCACCCATGCTTGACCTCAACAGTTCTGGGTCTCAAGGGTTCCACTAAATGTATTGGATGTAAAGTAGAATCAGAAGGGGCTTTATTTTTTACATTTCCTGATGCTTTTTGTATGAATAGATTTTATATTTTTAAGTGAAGAAATAAATATCATTAGTAAAAAGTATTATGAATGCCTCTCATGCATCTTGCACTTTCATTCAAGAAAGAGATAAAGTAGGTAAAAACACACACAATATTTTATATATATATATATATATATATATATATATATATATATATATATATATATATATATATATATATGATGTATATATATTATATATATGTATATATAAAATATATTTTCACAAGCTACATATATTTTTATACACATGCATGACAGTGATTAATTTTTTGACATCCCAAAAGGATGTGGCTGTACAGTGCTCCTGGACACATTAAATACCAAGACTCGGCTATCATTTTTTTTTAGAGGGGGTAATTAGTTGCTCATAAATATAATTTTTTTAAGCTCTTAACTGAAAAATAGTCTGAAACTAACCTAAAATTAAATACAAGTTCATCCCTTACTTTGATTTATCATCTGAAATTATTTTAAAAGGGGGATTGTTGTCTGCATGAATGAAGAAATTAAATCATGAAGTGACTTTTTTAACTCTGGTAATGAGAGCACTGGATTGTCTAAATATGATGTGAGATCATCAATATATAGATGAGTGCTGCATATTAACCCTTTGCCGAAGGGCATGCCATGCCATGCCCACTATGAGTTTACTCATTTGATTGTTTTTACACATAGATGGCTACACTTGTACTAAACCACCAATGAGCCAGTTACGAGTACTGCCTGTCTCGCCCGTTCACCCTTTTCTTTAATTTTCGAAAATATTTTACGTTATCTTAGTTTGCTATTACTAATGTTTATATTATAGTAATTATAATATTCATAATAAAAATAACACCATCGATATTCATAGCAAGAGTAAAAAATACATTTTCCCGCCAATTCAAGGAAAGATGAAATCAGATAAGGCAGAGCCATCTATGTGTAGTGACATTTCACAAAAAAATATAAAAAATGAGCACAGCATTTTCCCTAGTTTTTATTCTTTTTCCCCGTCGGCAATGGGTTAAGTGAGCCTTAGTACCTTAGTGAGAAAAGAAAATCCTACTGATATGGTTCACGAAAAAATATTCAGGACTTCCAGTTTAACCCAATGCCGACAGGAATGACATGTATGTATGTGCTATGCCCATGATTAGACCATTGCATTGGGTTAAAATTCTGAAATTAACATAAGGACTTTTTTGGATCTTTTGAAGGCGAGAAATGAAAGTGAAATTTGATTATAGTCATACATCACTCTAATGTCATTCCTTGATTCTTTATGAAGTGAAGAAATGAAGCCTTTATAAAATATAGTTCTTCCATATATACTATTTATGAAATCTTCTTTCTTCCAGAAATTTATAGTTGCCCCCTTAACCCAATGCCGACGGGCATGACATGTACATACATGCTATGCCCAGTGTGAGTTACTGGTTTGATTGTTTTTACACACAGATGGCTACCAATGAGCTAAATGAGTACTGCCTGTCTCGCCCGTTTACCCTTTTCTTTGATATACTAAAATATATTACATTATCTTATTTTTCTGTTATTAATGTTTATAACATTATTGTAATTATAATGTTTATAATAATAATAACACTATCGATATTCAGAGCACTAGTAAAAAAATCATTTTTCCTGCCAATTCAAATCAGGTAAGGTCACAAGGTCTACTAATTGACTCCTTTGTGGCTAAGCACTAGCAGAGACATTTCACAAAACATATAGAAAATGAGCACAGCATTTTCCCCATTTTTTATTAGTTTTCCCCGGCAGCATTCGGTTAAGAAAGATCTGTCAATATCCCACATACTTTTTAACTTATATAATACAACACAACCTGTGGCAAGGATATTCCTGGACTACAAGAGCAAGGTTTCAAAACAAGCAATAGAAAACTGACCATATTTATTGATAAAATTCCTTTTCCAATATCTCTCATCAAACACATCATAAAAGTTCACTATCCTGCAATGGGATTTGCATGAATTGTTATATTATTTATCCTTGTTTCTGTTGTTGGCTTATGGTTTTTAGGATTCACAGGCAATTTTTCCAGTTCATCCAACACGTCTAGCCCATCGATGATCCTGAAAGAGAGTTGCCTTGTCAAAAAAAATGTACATGAAACTGGAAAGGACAAAAGAAAGTACACAATCTGTCTTTTTCAAAATAGGATGACTTGCTCTGAAAGATTCTGTATCTAGCCATACACACACTAAAAAAAATCAATGCTAATTTCATTGTGTTTTTGGTACTATCAAACTCCTTTATACTTCTATAAATAATACTGGAAAAAAAATATATGTAACTTACTTTCCAAATACAGTTATAAATGGTGAAGGAAAACAAATGTGAGCTTCATGAATTACACATTAAAACCATTTTAGTTTAACCCATTTGCCCCACATGGCAAGAATAGATGCCATACCCACTTTGGGACACGTTTTTTTTATTGTATTTACACATAGATGGCTCCACAAGTTCTTAACCCATTCAGCCCACGTGGCAAGAATAGATGCCATACCCACTTTGGGACACATTTATTTATTGTATTTATACATAGATGGCTCCACAAGTTCTTAATCACCAAATAGCCAGTTATCAAGAACCACCTATTTCACCTGTTTCCCCTTCTCCTTTACTTTAGGAATGGGTTTTTTGTATCATTTCATTGTCTAATGACAATTTAATAATCATAACATCAATAACAATAATAACAGCAATGCTATTAACTTTCCCGCCAATTCAATGAATGGGAAAATCAGGGTCGGTAACTAGGGCCTACTGATAGACTCCTTGCCGGTTGAGCACATGTGGAGCCATCTGTATGTAACAAAATTCACCAAAAACTACAAGGGACAGAACATAAATCTTGGGTGCGAATGGGTTAATCACCAATAGCCAGTTATCAAGAACCACCTATTTCACCTGTTTCCCCTTCTCCTTTACTTTAGGAATGGGTTTTTTGTATCATTTCATTGTCTAATGACAATTTAATAATCATAACATCAATAACAATAATAACAGCAATGCTATTAACTTTCCCGCCAATTCAATGAATGGGAAAATCAGGGTCGGTAACTAGGGCCTACTGATAGACTCCTTGCCGGTTGAGCACATGTGGAGCCATCTGTATGTAACAAAATTCACCAAAAACTACAAGGGACAGAACATAAATCTTGGGTGCGAATGGGTTAATCACCAATAGCCAGTTATCAAGAACCACCTATTTCACCTGTTTCCCCTTCTCCTTTACTTTAGGAATGGGTTTTTTGTATCATTTCATTGTCTAATGACAATTTAATAATCATAACATCAATAACAATAATAACAGCAATGCTATTAACTTTCCCGCCAATTCAATGAATGGGAAAATCAGGGTCGGTAACTAGGGCCTACTGATAGACTCCTTGCCGGTTGAGCACATGTGGAGCCATCTGTATGTAACAAAATTCACCAAAAACTACAAGGGACAGAACATAAATCTTGGGTGCGAATGGGTTAATCACCAAATAGCCAGTTATCAAGAACCACCTATTTCACCTGTTTCCCCTTCTCCTTTACTTTAGGAATGGGTTTTTTGTATCATTTCATTGTCTAATGACAATTTAATAATCATAACATCAATAACAATAATAACAGCAATGCTATTAACTTTCCCGCCAATTCAATGAATGGGAAAATCAGGGTCGGTAAATAGGGCCTATTGATAGACTCCTTGCCGGTTGAGCACATGTGGAGCCATCTGTATGTAACAAAATTCACCAAAAACTACAAGGGACAGAACATAAATCTGGGGCGAATGGGTTAATCACCAAATAGCCAGTTATCAAGAACCACCTATTTCACCTGTTTACCCTTTTCCTTCACTTTAGGAAAGTTTTTTTTTTTTTTGTATCATTTCATTGTCTAAAATATTCTAATGACAATTTAGAAAAATAAGTTGTGAGGGCCAATGGAAGTGCAACCCCAAATTGAATACTCATTTCAAGTATAGATGAATCCTGAGATAATAAGGACTACATAGGTAAAATTATGTGATGTTAACCCGATGCCACGGGGCATGGCATGTACATACATGCTATGCCTAGTGTTAGTTTACTTTATTAATTATTTATACTCATAGATGGCTACACTTAGGCTGTCACTAATGAGCCGATTAAGAGTACTGTCTGTCTCCCCTATTTACCCTTTTCCTTGATTTTTGAAAATATTTTACGTTATCTTGTATTACTATTACTAATGTCTAAAACATTAAAGTAATTATAATTTCTATAATAAAAATAACACCATTGATATTCATAGCATTAGTAAAGAAAATGTTTTTCCTGCTAATTCAAGGAAAGGTGAAATTGGGTTAGGTCACAAGGTCTACTAATTGACTCCTTTGTGGCTAAGCACTAGCAGAGCCCTCTTATATGCAGAGACATTTCAAACACACACACACACACACACACACACAAACACAAAAAGAGCACAGTATTTTCCTAGCAGCACTGAGTTAAGACTAAATTTGAGGATTCTACACTACATTTATATTATTTACAATTATAACAAAATAAAGTCTGAAGAAGGATAGGTAACTAGAAAAAGTACCTTTATGTTGCGATGAAAGAGGCAGCCATCATAATAATTGGACGCACACAGAGCCAAGAAATTTTCACAAGTTTTTGGGCACTGCTCACAGAACAGCTCTACCTTGAGGTCACCGACGTCTGTGTGTAGGGTCACACTCTGCAAAAAAAAAAATAAAGGTATAAATGCCAAGTGCTAAAATATAAAGTATATTTTATTGAAGTTTGGGGCTATTGTGCATTTGGTGTAGTAATTCTGTTATGAAGTTGCCTTTACAAGCTGATTTTCTGATATAGCTTTTCAAAAGTCTACTGAGGAACAATTATAGAAAAAATGGCAACCTACAGTATTTACTGTAGTTTATGCCACACATTCTACTCTTACAGCTGTATTAATTTTATTAGGAAGCTCCATACTAATCACAAAAAAGGTAAAGTCTTGCAAATGACTAACAGAGGTCATGTGAACATCTAATAAGTTCTATTAATACATGTCCCAGTATCCTATTTGCTTAGTTAATTTTCTGGTAATGTTTTTTACATCTTTATAAAAAAATGCTGAAAAAATTCAAAAGCAGACTAGTTTATATAGTAAACAATAAATTGACATGCAAATAATGGTTGTTTTAATAGATACAATTAATTTCTACAGCCTTCTGCTAAATATACTCAAATGAAACTGTAGTATCTAATTACCAATGGTACCTTGAAGTTTAGTTACAACACCACCAACAACAAAAGGGAGCCACCTTTCACCAGTCAGAAAAGTTCAAGTGTGTATTTGTAATTTGATTCACATTTCCAGAAGGCCTTTACATACATGTAACTTTGCTTTAGAGGAAGGTAAGATTATAACAACTGGTTGACCTCATCTGGAAATGCTAATTAGATTTGTTACCAAGTGTGGGGACATGTGACTTGGGAAAAATATAAATCTTAATTAGTTTAAAGGCATGTGTGCAGTTTGTAGACTTTCCTGAAAATCTATTATTATACAAGGAACAGACCAAGCTCTGTCTTGCACAAATTTAAGAGGTGCAGGTCTGGTAACCTATGCCAAAGACACAGATAGGCTAAGTCATAGTGACTACATGAGTCATTGGTTTATACCCTTGTCTTTAATATAAATCCATAATTTCCAAAACAAGTCCCACTATAAAGGAGTATGGCATGAATGGGCTGCAGAAGGAATGAAAGTTGGCAAAGAGCAACAAACCTTCACCATGTACCATGGTAGGGTAGAGCATCGACTGTTTCCTTAGGTGATGATAAACAGGGAGTTATGCAAGCTCTGTTAAGTCTCATTACTTAGAAAAAGACTGAATGAAACAATGCCATTGTCTTTGTGCATCATGCTCTGGCAAAGACACACACACCTCCTCCCACCAAATATTTTGAAAGATGGTGTTTGGAATGATTCCTTATTTGACAATAAACTCACTTGGAGGCCAACAAGTTCCATCTTACCAGAATGTAATTACCGAAGTGTGAAGCATGGAGGTCACAACATTCTTGGACTTATGGTAGTTGAATGAACATAGGTTCTGATAACTGGAATTCCCTTCTGAATTTCTTTTTTGTTATGCATTACAGTTTTCTTTTATGTATTCTTTATGTTTCCTTTATGTTTTGAGGATGTGCTGTAACATTTTTCTTGACAATATGATGTTAGTCTACACTAACATCATGCAAAAAGAGACTCAAACAGGATATTAATTAATATCTCTTACTAAAACAACCCTGTCACTGATACTGACACTTGATGTATTGCATACTTGGTGAGTTCTGGTAGTACTAGTTCCATAACTGATTCTAAATCTCCTGTGAATATTAGCAGGGAATATAATATATCAGAACAAATATAGTAGCTAATCAAACATCTGTTCATGATACATGAAATAGCTCAGAACTGCCTCTAATAGTTATACTTCACAATGTCCCAAACAATCAACCCAATGCTGCTGGGAACTAGTAATGTTTACTATAATCTTGTTTTGTTTGATGCTTTTACGAACAGATTGCTGACAAGTGCTCAGCTACCTTGGACTCAAATAGTAATATTTAAATTTAAATATTTAAATTTCTTTTTCAAATGCTATTAACAGTGATGCTGTTATCATTATCATATAATGATTAAACTGTTATCAAAAATTCTTATAAGAATATAAATAAAAAAGAATACTTTGGAAAATCAAGGAAAAGGGTAAACAGGTGTTAGGTATGACTAGTAATGGACTCCTTGGCACTTATTAATCCATATTTGTGAATTGTTGAACCAATTATGTTTAAAGAAATTCAACAGTCTAAAATAAATGTACAATGGACTTACCATCCCTGCCAATATTGGGTTAATAAATGACATATGATATGATTGCCCTGCAATGCAAGAGCAATTTTAGTAATTCTTTATATTGACACTTACAAGAGACTAAATCCCAACTCCATGTCACTATACTTGAAAAATCTAAGTTGCCATGACTGGGTGTGATTGCCTGAGGGGAGGGTTGATCAGGGGCTCTGTCCTCCAACTCCCCCCCAGGCAAACATTGTCCTCTTGGAATGCATGGCAAGACAGAGCTGAAACTTAGGAACGCCAAGCAGATTCTGGTCGCAGGCAGTGCTTTCTACAATCTTTCTCCTTTATTTGTGGATTTACTGTTCATTTCTGCAGATCATGCCTTAAATCGATGGCTGAAACTTTCAGTGCTATACAGAAATATCATCTTCAATTTGCCCTAGCTTAGTGCATCCATATTGTAAAGATTAACTGAAAAATGCATTAGATCAGTAAAGGATGAAGGTCAAAATAGCTACTGTGTATAATTTTATCTTCAGTTTGCACATTTGTCACTGATGAAAAGTGTTAAATTTCCTTAATTTCTTAATTCCTGTCTCTCATTGTGGCAATCATTCAGAAGACACTTGTAAGACCAAGCATGATGATAATGTTATCAATGATTTCCTTTCTTCATCTGCCCATATATATATATATAGGAATTATGCCACGAAAGTCCCCCAATACCTACAACCTTAACCTGATAGTGGAGAAGGGCGAGAAATTATGAAGCAATATATGAATAATATAAACAAAATCGGAAAATATACAGTCAACTGTGCTGTGCCCCCTAACCCCACCCTGGATGACAAAGAATCCACCCTGTATGTACAGCAAGATAGAAAGACTTGGCATCAGGCACTCCTAGGCACCATGATTATACTATGTGCATATATACACCAATATGTCTATTGTGACCTTCCTGAGCCATGTTCACCCTGTATGTATATCCATCCTGCCATTAATAATGCAGATGATTCTTAAACTTCCACGGTAGGGGTATGGGGGGGGTTCCACAGCAAATGTCCTATACAAATGGGTAGTAAAGGGTAAGAGAAATTCATCGATACCACTAGTCACATTCTGTTGGGTGAAGGTATATTTACCAATTACTATATAGAAACACGGACAATATGTAGTATAAGGTAGTGGCAGAGTTGGATAATAAAACCTACATGAAATGATAGAACAATATAAACCAAGACAAAGAAAAGAGATCCCCCAATTTTGGATAAGTTGCTCATCTTGTTTACATTGCGAGGGTGAATTCTAGTCGCATATACTACCACGGGGGTCCATGGGGCATAGCCCTCAGGCTAGGCATATACATTACCAGGCTGTCCAGGGGGCAGAGCCCCCTGGCTAGGGAATATATACCAGTGTTAGGTTAGGTTGGATGTTGGGTTAGGACATTTTGTTTAACCCAATGGCGCCGGGTGTACAAAACAAATAAAAAAACTTAAACAAACAAAGGCGGCGCGCCGACTTTGAGCGCGTGAGTAGGGGACATCAGCCCGAATCACTGGCTCGCCGCGCTTTGGCGCGCCGCCGGCTCGTTTGGCTGCACGCCAGCTTTCGAGCGCTTTGTTTACACGCCGATCGGCGTCACCCGGCACCAAGGGGTTAACAACCATGGGGCTCCTGTTTTACCCCATAATTTCCCTGATATACTTCATGCCCTCCCCTGCTATCGGGACTATCAAATCAAGATTGTCAATGGAGATGGTGATCACATCTCTTCAACAATTCATTTGCACAAAGAACAATGCCTAGAATCGTTGAAAGCAATGGATTTCATCCAGAAAAATATCAAACTTGTTTCGAAAGTAACCCACTACCCTCTTCTACATATTGACCAGGGGGGGGGAGGGGGATCTTCTCTTTTCTTTTATGTATAGCAGCCTTGGGAAGCATTTCTATTGCCATAGAGGAACTTTGTCTTGGTTTGTATTGTTCTATCATTTCATGTAGGTCTTATTACCCAACTCTGCCACTACCTTATACTACATAATGACCCCATGAGGTCACTGAATATTCCGGAAACTTAAGTATTTGAACTAATTTATTTACAAGAAAATATCCAATATTCAGCAAGCAAGTATCTCAAAAATCTGCAATACTTCTGGTAAAGATGAAAGTGGCCCAAGAATAATATTTCAATCTAATAATAACGTAAAATGCAGCAAATACTTAATGTTTCCTTACCATTGTGACAGTGAAGAGTTTTGAAGCGACTCGCCTTGTTTACGTCCGGCGTTCGCGTGGGCGTTCGCATGCCCCGCGCGGATACTGGATTCCTCACAGATTTATTTTCGCAACTTGTTTGTATATTTAATTTAGTATGTAGCTATATGTAACTTATTTATATATTTATATGGATGTATTGTTTTATGAAACGTATATTTAAATGATTCTGGTGCAGCCTTCTGTTCAACAATGTTAGAGTAAATACGGAACAACGCGTGTTTGATCGTGCTTTACTTTTGTGCTTTCTGCTTCATTTACACGTAAGCTTCAAATTCAAGTGAAGTGAAAAGTGAAGAAGTTTATGGAGAAGACCCTGAAACAATCTTCGCTTTGGACTATGACACCCAAACAAAGAGAACAAGAGAAGATTTAGACTAATAACGAAGACAACCCCGTCTCAAAAAACAAACAAGAAACCGGATGGAACTCATCGGTGAAATCTCAAGCCGACATGTCTTAGTACTGCAGCGAAAACTGATTCACCTGCACAACCTTTATGAACTCGGTTCTTGAACTAGATCCTGGCGATGTGCATGGACCGAGTTGTGCACTTTAGTTAGAACATCATCAAAAAGGGCTAGAGATAGCAACAGCGAAGATTACCCATACTCTAAACAAGAAACGAAGGCAACAGGCAGCCTACGTGGCTTCAACTCTACTCCAGCAAGAAAATGTAGTGTTCACTTAACTGAGAGAGAGAGAGAGAGAGAGAGAGAGAGAGAGAGGAGAGGAGAGAGAGAGGAGAGAGAGGGAGAGAGAGAGAGAGAGAGAGAGAGAGAGAGAGAGAGAGAGAGAGAGAGAGAGAGAGAGAGAGAGAGAGAGAGAGAGAACTATAATACAAACAAACAACAACAACAAAACTTTTTTTTTTCTACTTTTGTGGATCGAAAAAAAAGAAACAATGAAACTTAGAACCAAAAAATGTATTCAAAGAAAAAGGCATACACAAAGGAAAACAACATTAAAGCTTATTAGCCAAAGCCAGAATTTTAGAAATGTATAAGGAAATTACTAGGAAAGGATCTGTTCTTTGCAAGATTTGAAAACTCTAATCAAATTCGGACACATCGAGGTCTTCCTACAAACAACAAACGTAATAGAAATAATTGAAAGAAACAGAGAATAATAATAAAAAAGATCCAGAGGAAAATGACTAAAGAAGTCTAAAACCCTATAAAAAGAAGAAAAGATTTCACAGTGGAAGAACCGATTAAACCTTCCTGGTGTGACCATCAAAGTCTTCGATGGAAGTGAAAGTGAATCGTGTGAAAGTGAATTTATGGACAATGAAGTTAGCGCATATATAGCAGACCTGAACAAACTCCGTTCTGGAATATGGCATCCAAACGAAGTGAACAAAAGAAGCTTTAAGACTTCCTTCAGATCATACGCTATGCCCCCCCCCCCCAAGAGAAATAAAATGAGGAATCTGGGAAGTTAATAAATCAAACCTTCGGAAAAAAAAATAGCTAAAATTATACATCTGATCCTTGAACAACACGAAAAAGCAGATGTATGCCAAAGATTAGTTCAACACTTCTGCAATCAAAACTAAGAAATGACCCATCATGCAGACGGTGCAAAATCCAAGAAGAAAACTTGGAACAGCCACATACACAGTGTCCACGACTTTACACAAAATACAAAATCAAACAATGTATTGAAAAAAGTCGAACAACATATAGTAGCAATATCCACCCCAATCATATGAAAGGTATGATTTACGCTTGGCAGTTGATTGTTTCGTTTAAATACAATTGCATGATAAATTACTTCTGAATGTTCTCATTAAATGTTCTTTATAACGAAGGCGTTGTAACGAAGTCGATCAAGTAAAAAAATGCGCTTAACGAAAAGACGAGAGCTGAAGAATAACACAACAGGATTTGACTATTGGATTTCCCGTTTCAATTGTTGAACGTAATGGACTGTTTACACCATCGGTTTCAAGTGCTATGTTTGGGGACGCTACGAAGTGTAAGGTTGAAGCAAGGTGTCAACTACCATGCAGCGCGTGGGTTGTTTTACAAGGCGCAGACACACCGTCGCCAGCTGTCAAGTGTAGTCTATTGAGCAGTGTTTATTAGTCACTTTTCACCTGCCATAGACAATCTCGGTCACTTGCACGTTACTATTGTAGAATTCATGTAACAGACACGTATCCATCGCTATTGGGATCTTCATGTATGGTTGTGTGGCAGCGAACCACGCTGTTGGCCACACTCGTAGTCAACTCGCATACGTCGACGTCCTGAAAGGTTAGGTTGCTCAGTGATTATATATACACGGTCAGTTTTGAGGAACAGTTCCGGTGCCGTGCTTCTAAACTGCGCTCCGAAACAGATTGTGAAAATGAACCATCAACAGCAATGCGGCTTTTTAGGTCCGAGGAAAGATGGATCGCCGTGTTATTGAACGTAAAGGCAGGATCATTTATCTATTTATTTATTCATTGTAACCAGATGCTGAATATATTTATAATGTAGTGTGTGTTAGTGTATTTATAGGGATTTTGTTCACTATTAGTACAGCAGCTATCATTTCATCATTAGTGTATTTATAGGGATTTTGTTCACTATTAGTACAGCAACTATCATTTCATCATTTTCATATTTTGAACGCAATTACCAATCCAATGTCATTCCTGTTGCACAGCAATGTTTTACGATTTTCGTTAACTCGGATGATATAAAACCAGTTTATGTAAATTTTGGTTAATCCTGCAGTTTATTGGAAGAGCTCTTAGCTTTTGCATAATCCTGCCTGGACTGAATCAAACATGGGAAGTTAAGTTAATAACTGCTGGAAGTGCTGTTAAGTTTCTTTTCTCGTGGAAATCGACGAATTAGTTTAGAAGGTATTAATCGTGATATTTAGGCACGCTTCTTTGTGCCATGTGTGTGTTTGACATACGAGGTTTGTCGGTTATTTAGTAAACAAAGAGTTATTATTCATTAATCTATTTATCTGTTCAGAGAAAGAGTGAGGGTGAGAGTGAGAGATTCGAAGAGGGACAGGTTGAGAAAAAGGGATAGGAAGAGGAAAGAGAGAGGGATGGAGAGGGAGAGGGAAAGGGAAAAGAAAGAAGAGAGGGTGAGGGAGGGAGAGGGAGAGGGAGAGGGAGAGGAGAGAGAGAGAGAGAGGAGAGAGAGAGAGAGAGAGAGAGAGAGAGAGAGAGAGAGAGAGAGAGAGAGGGGGGGAGAGGGGAGGGAGAGAGAGAGAGAGAGAGAGAGAGAGAGAGAGAGAGAGAGAGAGAGAGAGAGAGAGAGAGAGAGAGAGAGAGAGAGAGAGAGAGAGAGGGAGAGGGAGAGGGAGAGGGAAAGGGAGAGATGGGAGGGAGAGGGAGATGGAGAGAGAGAGACCGAAGGAAATGTACTGGCGCATCATACATCAGTTACTATGGCTAATACCAGTGTTGCAACAAAACAGTTTTAATCAATGTTAATGGTTAATGCAATTATTCTGATTGCTTAATCACCTTTCTGCATCTCATTCACAGATAGGCCTCTGGCTTTCAGTTGTTATTATATATGTCTGTTAGTACATGCCTTGGCATTAATCCCCTCATCTCACTAATGATCATATATTACAAGTTATCTCTTCAAGTGTATACTACTTTTCAAATTTTACGTAAATGGAGTGATGGGAGGGTGTCATGGATTAAATGAAATAGGCATCTTTTAATGAATTAGCTCTGGGTATGGCCCTAACAAGGTTTTTCATTGGAGATTGCATGCACACACACGCACATTCACATACACATAGACATAGGCATACACATACCCATACGCACTCATGTATATGCGTATATATATATATAAGTATATATATATGTATATATATATATATATATATATATATATATATATATATATATGTAAAGTATATATATATATATGTATATATATGTGTATATGTATATGTATACTCATATATATATTAATATATATATATATATATATTCACACACACACACAGACACACACACACACACACACACACGCACACACACACACACACACACACACACACACACACACACACACACACACACACACACACACACACACACACACATACATACACACGCACACACACACACACACACACACACACACACACACACACACACACACACACACACACACACACACACACACACACATATATATTCATACATATATATATCATGTATATATATATATATATATATATATATATATATATATTCACACATACACACACACACACACACACACACACACACACACACACACACACACACACACACACACACACACACACACACACACACACACACGCATATATATATATATATATATATATATATATATATATATATATATATATATGTATGTATGTATGTATATATATATATTCATATGTATATAAATATGTATATATATACATGTGTATATATCCATATATTTCTTTCTCTATTTACAACAATTATGTAGACATAAAAGAACGAGAAAGAAAGGAGAAACGAATTCACTTCTATGTCTGACGGATGCTCAGCTCGAAAACTTTTTCGTATATACATATTCCCGTTGGAGTTTCCATCGAAATAACTACTATAATTAGTTTAGCATGAGACGAGTGGCAACAGACCTTTACAACACTATTTAAACTTTCCGGCCGAAAACTAGATTTATGATAGTTTTAAACTTTTTATTTCTCTTGACTTTTTTTTTTCTTCTTTGTCACTTGAATTATGATGATGGTATCACTCCTGGTGAAAAGTATTCGTGATAATATTTATAATTGGTTTTGCAATGATGGCAAAAAAAGTAATGGGACAAAGATAACCAAGATTAAATAATTATAGCGCTTAAAGCAGATAATAACGATGGTGGTAATGATATTCAGCTGAACATGATAATAGTGTTCAGTCAGTCACAATCACACCATTCCCCACCATCAGGACAGGGGAAGAGGAGCGATAATGATAGTAATAATAACGATATGATAATCATACTAATGACAATAATGATTATGATGGTA